TGTGTGTGTGTGTGTGTGTGTGTGTGTGTGTGTGTGTGTGTGTGTGTGTGTGTGTGTGTGTCTTTATAATATTTATTACGATATTATAATGATATTATCATATTATCATATATAATATAATATAATCTGTTACATGCCAATCAGTACTATCTTATAAATATGTTATCTAAATTAGTGAATATTACACATATAAAATAAATAAAGAATAAAAGAATGAGAATTTTTATAGACGGTGTTATTATGTATAAAATGGTTGAAAAAAAAGAAACAAACCCAATAAAACAGTCGATATTATATATTACCGAATTCGCTATTGTATTTCGGTAACATCATGTTTCATTACGCTTTTCCATCTCATAAATTTTCCATCAGAACGTAACGATAATTATATTCGTTACCGTAATTCCGTAATAATTAACCAAAATACAAGCCTCGCTTTTTCGCGGTAAGCACGATCAATTGGATTATTATTTGCCTCAAATGGTTAGCATTTTTGATGCTTTATTATTCAATGAATTAATTAAATTCTCGAGTAAAATGTTTAAATATCATGACGTTTGAAGTAATTTTAAATATTTCGTTATATTGTTAATGCAAGTTCGTAAGAGCAAAATTATTTAAATATTAATATGGAATATAAAAATCTAAACAAATTTATTGTTACTTTAAATCAATTAATAAGCATCTGATGTGTATATTTTTCAAATAGTAGTATTCGCCTTTTTAAAAACTGCTATAAAATTATCGTCCGTTCATAAAATTAATAATTTAATAACTTTTATACAATATTCATATAAATGAAGACTTGTTTGCATCAAATCATTATTTCAGAGTTGTTTACGTTTCTTTGTATTTTTTTGCTTTAAATGTTGAAATATCAAAAAATACCAACAGTATAATACCGACAGTATAAATAATAACAATATAATCCATTTCTTGATTATTTATTAGAAATACTTTAATAAAATACCTTTTTCTATCGTCGTAAATTTAATAATAATAAATTTAATACATAATTCTTTTTAAATAAAAAAAATTATTAAATTTAAATTTAATTAATTTGATCAATCGATTAAATTTCAAAAATTTATTTTAAATTTCCCAAAACAATTTCTTAAGCAAAAATTAAATTAAATTAAAATAATTTAATTTAATTTTATCTTTCTTTTTGTTTAAGATTTTATTTTCTATGTTTTCAAACGAGTATCCAATCTATACTATTCAATCTATACTATCGTAATTCATAAGTTCCCGAATGCTCTTTAAAATGAAACACACGTTTTGTGTATTTTTTTCTTTTTGGCAGTATAAATACAATAATTTGGTCTCTTTTAATAACTATAAAATAACAAAATCAGTAGATTGATATGCTACTTAAAAAGTTACTTACAATTTTTATTTTATTTTTAAAAATTTTTACAGGTAAACTAAATTATTTTTCATGAGATCTGAGTTACCTATCCCCTCATCTACATCTTTTAATCTTTATATGTCCGCTTATTATAAGCATTTTAATTTTACCGTATTATATTTGGACAAATAATTTATCTTATTAGAATTCCGATTTTAACTCCATGATTATGCACTTCTCATCACAGATTCACAAAACTCAGAATTAAGATCAATACAGATAGATAATTAAATGTTCCAAATCTCGATAATTTTATGTGATTTGACATTTATATTTATAATACATTGAAAAAAAGCTCGATTTAAGAATCGAAACTCGTTACTTTTCTCATCACTTATTTTTAATTTAATAAATATTTTATTTTTGCACATGTATATTTAGGATTGACTTTTATTGGCTTCATCTTCGAATTGATTAATTTATATGTAAACTGATATCTGTCTATTAGTATTGATACAACATATATTTAAAATTTTCATTATAATCATTGCAGATCTGATCCTTTTTTTGCGAGGTTAACAAGGACTCAGCTTTTAACGTTAAGTATAGCTTATCCATTCTATCTATTTAGCTATTCATCATATACTAACTATTCAAACAATTAAAATTAGATTCTCTCCGAAATGATACGAATTTCGAATCGAGTTCGTAGAATAAACTTTTAAAGAATTAGCGATTACACGCGCCATGTTTGATTAGAGCCATTCGTGGAATTTCTAGCGATGCGCGGATTAGCGCGGGTAATAATTAATTACGTTAGCTGCAATCAATTCGTTAATCAACGCTCTCTTCTGTCATTCCCCTCCGGCCGCGCCTCCTGACGGCGGGAACTGTTGAATGATCTCTCGATTGCCAATTCGTTTAATCATATCGTCGACCCCTCACTCGCGCACGTACATTAAACCTCAATGGCTAGGTTCGATTAATTACGACCGGACTGACGTTGACGTGTGACGTATGGACGAATAATTCAGCAATGATCATTTTGCGTAAACTATAAATCGAAAAAATTCTTGCGATTCTGCGCAAGAAACATTACATTACATCTTATATTATATGTGTAATAAATAATCTTTCTATAAAAGTTATATATCACTATTCATTTTTTACCTAAATTCTGAGATTCATTGGAGCATAAAAATGATTCTTTTTTTAAATTAAATACAAATTGTTGGATCATCAACAATTTGTAGATTACAAGAAATTGAAAAAAAAAAGTATTTTTGCTTCAAAAATATATAATTACAAAGTAAGTAAATAATAAAGTCACTTTACCTCATTTCGTACGAGTATGTCAATGAATCGAAATAGATAACAAATTTTCGTGAAATATTTCCTAAATAAATTCAAGAATTGAAGAGATTAAGTATTAAAATTAAGATTGACAATTCTGGAATATTCTTTCTCAAAGAACTGTTCTGTAGAATATCTTTTTTGTTACGAGATGCTATTATGTATGAAAAGATACTTTAGAAAATAATTGGCGTTATAAAAAGAAAAGTCACATGGATAGTTGGAAATATAACAATTTATAATGCAACAATTTACAATATTACAATAGACGACGACGAAAACGTGCGGCATTTCAACAGCACGTTATATCAAGACAGGGCGATGTAATTTTATTGAACCTGGTTTAATTACGCGCCGGATGCGACTCGAAGTTTCATGTTAACGGGCTGATATACGATGTCAGGCGTAATTAATAATTAGGTAGCAGCTTGCGGGGAGAGCGGCTTCCAGTTGAATTTTATTTTTAAACTGCAGTCCACTGCGCATAGAATATCTCTGATGCTTGCGCTGCTGGCTCATATGTCGTAACACGCGCGGTACGATACTAATTCCTTTTCACGGAAAGAAAATATCGACATCTTCGATGTTCTTGGTTTGAAAATGTCATATGTGTTTATGTGCAATTTCTATCTCGAGAACAAATTCTACATTTTTTTAGATCTTTAATACATATACGATACATATACGGAGCGTTCCAAAGCTAGATCGTTGTTCTTATCTGCGTGTGTTTTCTGATACGGAGTCGACTTTTTAATAGAAATTTCATTGACCAATATTTTTTAACACAATTTTTATATACGCAATTTTTGAGAGATTAAGAGAATTTTTATGCAAAAAGCATACTTCTCTTAAATCTCTCAAAAATTATATATATAAAAATTGTGTTAAAAAATATTGGTCAACGAAATTTCTATTAAAAAGTCGATTAATTCAAATTTAATTCTATTAAAAGCACTGTATTTTTGAAATTAAATAACTATAGAATAACTCCTACGTATATGCCGCACCTATCGAAAATTTAATTTATCAAGTAGAGAAAAAGATAGTATTATGACTAAGATATACAATAAACAACAAATGTAAAATATACAATAATCGGCATTTATTAAAATATTAGGGGTATCTATAAGTACAATAATATCATTTTTTCAGATTGCGTAAATATTATCATCTGATTCGTAAACGTCATTTATTATTACATAATCTATTTAATAATTAAATAGATTATTGACATTTAGTATACTTATCGTAAAATTTTAGAAGAAATTTTAAAAGAAAGAATTTAAGTGTACCGTTAAGAATGAAAGAAATAAGAAAGTATGGGTAATGTGCATACTAGACATTTGATGCTTTATGAGTTTCGAAACAATGCTACTAGTGGCACAAATGCCGCTTTAATTCTACCGCTTTATTCTAGTGTCTTGAAGCGTGCTATAGCGTTGGTTTACAAAAATCTAAAAACTATTTTAATCTTTCCGATGGATCAAATTCTGAAATATTTTACTACGAAATCATTCTCATTTTACAAGAAGGTAACTGAAAATTTACCGGAAAGATGGAAAAAGATTATCAATAATGATGGAGATTATTTTGTGAATTTATCTGTACTACATGTTAAAATAAATTAGAATTTTGCATTTCAAAAAAATGACATTATTTATGGGTGTAATACATGTGCCGTAATACATGTTTTTACTTTCGAGCATTTCAAAACGTTTTCAAGATATATTTCATTCAATTGTATATATTTCCTTATTTTTCTTAAATTTTAGCGTACAGTTACATGACTATACAAGCACTCGAGTGTTTCATTTGTCATTTAACATTTTATTCGGCATTTTATACATTTCGAATTAAACAATAGCATAGCATTTTGTTAATGAATTCTTTAAAAGTGTTAATTATTTCTTATCCTTTTGATAAATCTCCGCTTACTTTTATTCTTTTACGTTCTTTTTTTCTTATAACTTTCTACTTCAGATACATTTATCTGAAAGTAGAACAATAGTGCATTGATAATATGATCTCTTTCAAGATTATCATATCGAAATTTTTATTCGATAAGTCGATTGCAACTCTATTATTAATCTACACATATAGTTCACATTATATGTATTATAGATTTACATTTACACGAAAATGACAGCAGAAAGAGGTTATGTTTGTGTGTGTATGTATATATATATATAT